GGCAGCAATCTTCAGCTAGTGGGCGTTAACAAAATGATGATGATTTGAATCAGCTGTAGACTGATGCCTGCATATCTGTTTCTAATTCTGCACTAATTTCTACCTGGACAACTCATTACAAGGATGCTTGTTTTTGCTTTTCTGCTGTTAAAGATTTTCCCAAGGAGAGGCCAAACACTGTAGCAATAGGCATGTATATGTCTCAGTCTTATTCAAAGAAGAAAATGGGAACAATCATGGCAAACGCGATGGGGAAAAGCTTCAACAACCCTTGTGACAATTACGATGACACATTAGTATAGCAAGATCTTGTTAATGGCTTAGTGTTTAAGACAATTCTTCAGCTTTCTGCAAGTCGGGGCAGTTCATGATAATGTGTGTTTCTCAATTAGAGAAGAGATTGACAAGGCAGAAGGAGTCTCCAACCAGAAAATTACTTCGTGATAATGCAGAGGAATTTTTTTTTAAATGCTTTAAGTGAGAGATTAAGTAAATGCAGCTTGACTCAGTCCTAGGTGAATCTATACAATTTGTTTTTAAAAGAGCAGGAAGTGAAACAAGATTTGGGTGGAAAAAAATAAGTTGAGTCATCAGTCTTAAAGAAATAAAAATTTATGTGCCCCTGTCTTTGGATCTCTCCCACATTTGCTTTTAATATTTGTGAGTTGAGTTTTGTTGGTAGCACAGCAATTTACAGGTCTAACTGAGGATTTCTCACAGCCCATTGGTTCAGTTTGCTTGTTCAGTATTCTCTGCTGTAAGCAATCTGCAGCTTGTACACAAGCTATTTAGACTGTTCACTGTTGAACAGGGCGTATCCAGTAGCTTGTGCTGGTACCACTGTAACAGAGTGGCCTAATCCTGCTGGTATTACTACTGACCAATCAAAAAAATGCTAAGAGGAGTTATATCTAATGAATACCTTTCCAAAGGTTGATACAGGATTTAGCTTTGGTCATGGCTTTCTTCTTGTCTCCTTTGTGCAAAGACTGAGATTAAAGTTGTGGGATGTTTCATCTTTTTGAAGTGATGCTAAGGATACCAGAGCACTTATGAAACAGGTGGAGTACTGAGACGCTTCTGGGAAATTCAGCTCTCTGTGAACCACGTAGGAAACTTTGGTGCTTATGGAAGGTATCTCCACACGAGGGCTGAAGCTGTGAACCTGTTCTGGGTGTCGGCTGCATATTTACTCTTTCAAGAATTTTAATCCTCAATAGCAAAATTAGGTTTAAGTAATACATCTGCTTTACTGTCATAGAGTCTCTGTTTAGAGATGTTTTAAGAAAAACTAAATAATCTAGCTTTGTGTAACGTTTCTTCCAGCTTCTGTTCCTGGAGTTACTGTAATTGAGATTTACTCTTGTTCTTGTGTTCAGAAATTGCCTTTTTTGGAGACCTGACATGAGCAAGATGATCTGGTTTGAATGGTCTGTGGCTGTGGTGAAGCTAGAGAAGGCTGTAGTGTTGGACCTTGACTTCTTGAAGAGAGAACTGGGGTCCAAACAAAAGTAGTGGAATCTTTGTAAATGCGGGTATCTTCTCACAAGTTTTCTGTCCTAATATGAATTTAGGATTGTTGTGAATGAAGTAGTCTGTGTTTTCTTGGCAGGTGATTATTACTTGATTTATTTCTTTTTTCCATACTATTTATGAATACAATAAACAGAAGAGATTCCTATGAAATGTAACTTGGCTTCACCAAAAATCATTATCATTTTCCTCTCTTTCCTCTATTTTAACTTGTTTTTCTATCTGTAGCCTTTGTAGCTCATGGCAGCTTAGGTCTTTTAACAAGCCCTTTGTAAGATACTTTGAGTCAGATCTGTCATTCACTGGCTTGCTCAGGAATTGATGTATGTTTTCAAAGCAGAACTTGGCTTCACAAAATCCATTACGGTTTTACCCCATATAACATATTAGTGGGAATACTTGTAATTTTTATTATTTAGTTGCTTGTAATAATTTAGCTCTTTTCGTGGATCTTAACTACACTGTCAAAAGTGTTTGGGTTTTTTTTGTGGATTTTTTTTTTCCAATTTTCCCCAGTCATCTGGCAGTAAAGTGGTAATGAGTGAGAGGCTGCATACCATCAGCAAGTCTAGTTTGTTCATCCTTTACCAGGTGGAATATTACCTGTTCTCAAAAGCTATCTTCTTGCTGTTAGCTTTTCACTGTGCTCTCTTCTACTGATAATTTGTTTCTAAGACAAATCATCTAGTTGTTTCTGACATGCCTCTACTACCTGGCTGTGTTTGTGCAATTTATGTGCCTACATGTATAACTCTTTAATTTTTTCACCTGTTCTGGGATATGCTTTTTTGTTCCCTGGTGTTATGTGTGCCTTATGTATGCCTTCGAGATTTCTTTTCGAAGGCTTTTTTATTTGACAAGCAGGATGTGTTTATTCTAATGTGATGTCTTGAAATAGTCTGTATGTCTCCAGAGAACATGCAGTTCTTTTTAGGTTCTTCTTTTAGGTGCATTGATTTTTCTGTATGTATATGGTTGCTGTCTTTAAAATTGAGCATGGCAGTAGCTGGTCTTCTGGCTTTGGTCTCACTGTAGAAGTGTTGACTTAAACGCTGATACTGTTCAGGTACATGGTAGAAATATTATAAAGCAACTCTTGATTCAGACCTGACTGGTACATAAAATTGCTTCCCATCTTGTGAGTTTCCTCACAGCGTGCAGAAATCTAATATTACCTGACTGCTCAGAGTAAGGATTTTAGATTTTATTTGAAAGTAACTGAAATGATTGTTCTCTGGCATTTTCCTTGTCCTCCTGCCACCACATTTCCTTTAGGCCACCTATGTATCTGTTTATGTCCTTGTTTAAGGTAAAGTATTCTGGGCCTGTGATACCACTATTTTCTCAGATAATTCTGTTAAATATGGGAAGCATTGCTTTGGCTTTCTGTCTCTGCATTCTGTTCACAATGGACATTCTTTTTTAACTTCTCTTTACTTTTTTTTGTCAACATGATGTATTCTTTACTTGAAGATGCAGTATGTACCATAGCGTTCAGAACAGTGTATCCTCTGTGCATCAAAATGCTTTCTGCTAGTCAATTTGTAATGCTTGTATGCTATTCCTGTTAGGATGTACAGTTGTTGTTTTCTTAATCATCCTTTGCTGGGCTCCGTCTACCCCCTAAGCTTCCCCAGTCCCTGATGATTCTGCACCTCTCTGTCCCAGTGCCTTACCATCCTTACTGTAAAAAAAAAAAAAAAAAAAAAAAAAAAAAAAAAAAACCTCCTTCTTTGTATCAAATCTAAATTTCCCCTCCTTTAGTTTGAAACTATTTCCCTTTGTCCTGCCATGGCAGACTCTGCCAAAGAATTTGTCTCCTTCCTACTTATAGCTTCCCTTTAGATACTAGAAGGCCATTATCAGATCTCCCCAGAACCTTCTCTTCTCCAGGCTGAACAGCCCCAGTGTTCTCTGCCTGTCCTCATAGGGTATGTGTTCTATCTATTGAATCGCTTTTGTGGCCTTCCTCTGGACATGCTGTAACAGGTTCACATCCCTCCTGTACTGAGGACTTCACAGGACTTTACTGTCCCTTCATTCTAGCTGGAGCTTCTGCATGCAGGTTAGAGTGTTCAGAGATTGCTGTTACACCTCCGTGTCATGCATTGTTCCATCTGTGCCATAATAGCCATCAGAAAGAGCTCTGTCTCTGAGTATTTGGGAGTGCCAGAAATATTCGCACCACCTGGGTCAGGTAATCATATGACATTTGATTCTTTACCCTCAAATTCTCACCCTCTAGCTAGTCTTTTGTCTACACTTCTCTTGGATACCTAGACTGACTCAATAAAAGTTTGCCATTATGGAATGGAAGTGCAGCTTGTGGTTAAAGTATTAAGAAACAATAACATGATGCATTATTAGTAACTGTACTTACTGAATTTCATAATAAATTATAAAGATACCCTGACTGAATCTAAATTATGAGAAGCTAAAGCCTGTTGTTAGACTTTGGTTTGTACAAAAGAAGCTGACCTTCCTAAGAGGGCAGTACTCCAGTTATTTGTCTGTGGACTTGGTGTAAGGTAGAAGCAAAAGCTCCAGCCTCATAAGAAGTACTTGGAGCAGCATGTTTCCTAGCTGGTGATTTCTGAGCTACAGAGGAGTCAAACGAAGGCCATTCAGGAGCAGGGAAAGAATCCTTAGATGTTAGAAAATCTATTACAGCAAAGCAAAGAAAGTATCTGCCACGTACACAGACCTCTTATTCTGATGTTCTGTCCTCTAAATTGGCTTCCTGGAACAAATCTGTGCGTAAGGTTGTGTGGGCATATATGTTTTTGAGTGAATTTAGTAAAGTTAAAATTGAGTAAGATTGAGAAATGCTACCTTAGGTTAGTTTGTGCTTGTGGTAATTGACTTCCCAATTAACTTGCCATAACTAGCACAAGTAGAAATGCCTATGCAGACACGAATACCACATGTAACCTAGAAGATTTTTTTTCCAGAATGTGGCTGGGAGGTCTCAATCAAAATCAACATCTAAGAAGCTATGAAAGAAACATAGACTTGTCCTCATAATAACAACTGCACTCAAGTTCTTATCTGGCCAAATAGTACCTTTCAAGGCAGCTAGGGCAAATGCAACTGAGCCTTCATCAATATGCATCAGCTCTTTATCTGACCTCAGATTGAACACTGTCTCTCTAACACAAGCAACATTTTCATACTGGTCCTGACTATATTTTCTGTTTGTATGTTTGTTTTTCTTAATTATACCAAAGAAGGAAATAAGCTTTGTATCCTCACAAAATTCTCATGTCTCTTCTGATTTGGGGTGTTGCAGGGCGTGTAGTTAATGCTCTGAAAAGGCTTTGGGATTCCTGGATGAAAGGTGTGATGAAAGAAGTGTACTGTTATTGTTTTAGGGGAGGAATCATGCTACTGGGTAAGCCTCTGTCACTGAGACTTGCTGGACTTGTTTGTTCTGACTTGCCTATGACTCCTTTCTTTCCTAATTCAAGCGATAAAGCCTCAAGTCTATGCTGAGATGCTGCACAGTGTGTTGTGGAGTTCAGGACGGTACATCTCTCAGACAAAAGACCCTCTTCCTGACCTCACTGGTACTCAAAGGTGAGTGCTACAGCCATCCAACTTGCTACTTGGTAGTTTTGTGCAGCATGGCTATATAGCATGTGGATTTTTTGGGCAATTTCTGGCTTTGACCAAGGTGGGGGTTGGAGAATGAATGGCTCTAGTTCTGAGCTAATTTCTGATTTGGGCTCCCTTCTATGCATCAGTAATCCTTATACTTCTCCCTTTCTCCTCACCCAAACCGCATTTGTTTTCCAAGAACTCCTTGGCTCCTCTGTCAGTGGTAAGGCAAGGTGGTCCATGGCGACAGGGGGTTGTGGGGGGCAAGTAAGAATTCTCTCACTACGCTGTAACTCTGATCTACACTTCTTGCTGCTGCAGTTAATGTGTTGAAGTCCCAATTGCTGACAGCATGGTATGAGATGGTAAGTAGGTTGAAGTCGTAAAAGTAGCTTCTTGTGTTTCTGTTTACTTTAGTGGACTTTTTTGCAGTCAGTGAAGTGTTAATATGTGCAGAATCCTCTTGGAAGTGAACCAAATCTTGTACCACACTGTTTCACCACCCTATCTCGGAATGAAAGTCAGGCAGAAAAAAACATGGATACTTTAACTACTTGTCTAGTATTTCACTACCGGAGTAATGTGAAAAGGGGAGGAATGGCAAACAGGGTTCTTTCCAGAAGCTGAAAATCAGAGACCTACTGCTATATTCTGAAACTGATGAACTAATAGAATAAGGTAGTAGCCTATGGCCAAAGTATAAAATTATGTAGAAGTTGCAGAACCATACTGTAAACTGATTGTGTTCAGTAGCCAAGTACTTAATTTCCCTTACACTATAGTGACCTCTCATACCTTCATGCAGGCTGTAAAGTCCTTAAGGATGTACCTTTTTAATTATCCTAAAACTTGTTACAGAACAGGAGAATCTTTCCCAAGATGTTGGCTGTGACAGTCAATTACAGAAAAATGTGCTATTAATCAAGTTCATTTCAGTTGTTAGCCTTGTTATGTCCCACATTTGTTTGTTGTACAAGTTATGTCCCACATACTTTGTTGTACAGGTATGGTAGGCAGGCTTTATCCAAATAATTATAGAACTTACAATCTCCTAAAAGCTATACACAAAATGGATGAGAGAAAGAAACAACAAAAATGTTTTGTGCTGATTGCAAAGTTGATTGAATAATCAGGGGAGACTGTATGAGCAGCATTTTTTTTATTGTCTTAGACGTTATGCCAGAGGCTAACTGCTGCTCTTGAATCTTGCTGAAAGACAAGCTGTTGTCTTTGCCTAGCTATAGAGAGTTCTTGAGAAGCAATAAGGCCTTAGCAGAGTTGGGCAGTTAAGGGGAGAAGTAAAAGAAAAGCACTAGATTGATGTGATTGCTTATGGCAGAGGTGGGAGTGAAATTAGCATTGTTAGCATGGCCAGTGCTTTTGTTACTGGTCTTCTGGGGTTAACCAGACATACTCTAGTTGCTGCCATTCCCAATCATCCTGCCAAAGAAGGTTGCTTCAGGGATATAGTTTAATGTTGCACTAACTGAGCCAGCAGGTAAGTTTGTTCAGTTGTCTTGTGAAACGCCCCATTTCTATGAAGAGTAATTGGAGTGATTGTGGGACTGTGCCTGAATCCTAGAATGGAAAACTGGGCATGACTTAAGTATGGAGAGACCCTCATCTGCATGTTTGGAGACCATATTCTTTTCTGAGAGTACTGCAATATCATTGAGCAGGGATTGAACTAAACATATTATAGGAAGACAATAGCAGATCAGATGGCAAAATGGAAGGGTTATAATCATATAACCCTATTCTATGCCAAACTTGGCAGAAAACTTTGAATAAATAGATGTTGCTTAAAAAAAATCAAATATGTTGGATCCATTTGAAAGCAAATATAGGTAAGAAGTGCTATGAAGGCTTAGATTAAGAGATGAGAAAAAAATCAAGGGCAGATTCCTAAAACATAGTAGGGTAACCTTCCCTGCTTACCCAGTACCTAGACCCTTTTCTCAGGACATAGGTGGCAGTTTGACTTCCTTTCTTTGTCGGAACTGTTTTCCATTTAACATCAGTTTTTTGGAATTGATGTTATTGAGGTAAAACACAGTAGTTCAACTAGAAGAGATGGCAACTTGAAATGCTATCCATTCTCTCATTGATTTTTGTAAGGAAGGTCAAAGTTGTACTCCAGTAAAATTTCAGTACAAATGTTTCATGATGTGTCACTAACTATTAATATAGCTTTTTCTTGCTACATTTTACTTATTTTTAAAATATCTTAATCAGAGCTTATATATGTATAAACACACCTTTATTGTGTTTATACAGAACTAAGTTATTTCTGAAGTTCATTTGGATGGCTTTTTTCCATATGTGATAACTTTTTAGTCATCAAAATGCTTTCTTTGGTGCAGAACAAAGGTGTGTAAAGTGTGAGAATAATAGTTCACGTTCCAGACCTAAATGAACCGTGACAAGAGCTTGTCAGATGCTACAGTCACTGGATCATTGTGGTCTTCCTGGAAATGAAGTGTTTTTTAATGAGCACTGACTGCTAGAGGAGGTCTGGTATTAGTTCATAGTCCCTCTGAGAGTTTTGTTCTGAAACATTTTGCTGTATAGTACAGACCAAAAGCCTCCTGTTATAGACTGTGAGGAGGTAGTTTTCAGAGCAGGGAGAAGACTCAGCCTTCCAAGTGGAGATCTCTCAAGAATGACTTGAGGAAGTAAGGTTATTTTCATGCTCTCACTTACATGGCTGCTGTGCTGAAGGGTAAGTGTATTGGTGTTTCCTGAATTCTCTTGGAATTCTCTCCTGAGAATGAAATGGCAGGTTGCTGTAGTTTGGACAGTAAAATAATAATAAAAATATATATTGATGTATGTTATAAGGAAAAGATGCATCTGTTAAGTGAAGGTGATCAGATCATCTCTGCCTCTGCATTCTTCGGCACCACAGAGGAGTCACTGTTTCTTTAGCCAAGGGTGCCTAGTAGGGTGGAGCAGAGTTTTCTTGGTGACTGAAGCCTAGAGAAGATCATGCAGAATTTTGATCCCTGAACATAGGGGTCCACCTGCCACTGAACTATTTAACTACAGAGACAGCAGTCCAAGGCACAGGAATCCCTGCCAGATGCTTATTCTTGTAAAGCATGAGAATCCTGCACTTCATGATACAATAGCAAAAAGACTAGAGGAGTGAAGGAGCTATTTGGTGGTGTAATATCAGATTACTGACTGAATGTGCGGAGTGGACGTAATCTGAACAAGAGCTGGCTCTTCCTAACATCATAGTCAGCCTTGTGCTGCTCCAGTGCAAGCAGTACATGCTTAGTGCTGCCTGTACTCAAGTTTTACTTCAAAGATTATAACTGCTTTTGGGACAAATAAGGCCATCTTTTCTCTGCTGTCTGATTCCTGGAATGGATGACTAAAGATTATTTCTTATAAAACTCTAAACAGAGAGTTTCTCCTTCCCAATGCCTTTGCACAGCTGGTGACCTGCAGGTCTGCTGCTGAAGTGAACAGAGATGGTAGATGGTGCTTGCTTATCTAGGTCCTGCACTTGAGTAGCATAGCTGAAGGATGTATAGTGGAAGCTGTAAGCATGAGGAGGTGGTGGGATGTGGCATTTTCACTCCACAAGTGATTTTTCTTGTCCCAGTTCTTTCTTTAGCAAGGTGGTGATAAGAACATCCTTCTAAAGAGAGGAAACTGGGATTTGAAGAGGTGTTTCTGCTTTAGTTTGTATGTCTATATACAAAGTAACAACCTGTATGAGTATAGAGATTTATTAAGCGCTTCCTTTAAACTATTTTCTTAGGACTGAATACTAGGTGCCACTGCAACTCGGAGATTCCATAGGAAGCAATCTTGACTAGCTCAGACTTTGAGGCAGCTCTCACATGCTCTGCAATCTGCTTTGCACAGACCTTCCAACAAAAACTAAGCCTGTCTAGTGGAAAGACAGGTAGATTTGCAGAACACTTTTGCAACAAAACTTAGCAGTGAACAATACCTGTTTGAGAGCATAAAAATTTTCCTGCTTCCCTTCCTAAGAAACACTCTGGGATATGTACCAACACTCACTAGCTAAAACCAAGCTTCTGGGAGAGGAGATTACTGTGTGAGTTGTTTTCAACTACCCCTTCTTGCTGAACACCTCTGTGTGCAGACATCTCAGCTGCTTTTGTGGCTTTACCATTTATTTTTTTCTTTTCCTGATTTGTGTTTCCTGCCTTGCCTTCCTCATAGCTTTGCTCAACTTTCTCACCCTTAAGGTGGAGTGTAGAACTCCATTCATGCTCCCCTGACTTCACTATTCTTTGCTGTCATAGGTTTGTGCACTGTGCCTTTTACCTTCACTCTGGTCTGTCCTCTGAGTGCACATCTTAAGCTACTGGCAGGTTTTGCTGTTATCCTGCTCTGCTGGCTCAGTTTTGCTTTCACTGTGCTGCCTTGTTACTCCATGGTGAGAAAACATGAACCCTCCATCTCTCTGTCTGCTCACTACTCCTCCTTTCATCTCGGGTGTTGTTCAGAAATGACTATGCCAAAGGCCTGAAAAGGGGAGTATAACATCAAGTGTGTCTGACCCACAATGCAAATGCAAACCTGGTTTCGTGGAGGCTAAGTGCCTCCTCCTCAGAGCTTGCTATTGCTGTGTTTCACCTCAGTCACTTTGAGGAATTATTCCACATGTTCTTCTAACAACTTATATTAATGCCAACCACAATGTAGAGACTAAATGCATGGCTTGACAACGAGTACATAGCACACTGTAGAATTACTAGGGTTCTGAAATAATGGCAGTTAAGGCTTTGCATCATTATACAGCAACATGAGCGAAGATGCAGTTTTCCTAGTGTTCTCTTGCCTAAGGTGGCACAAGAGGAAATAAATGGAAGGAAGAGGCTCATTCTTCCTTTATCTACATGTGAATCAGATTCCCAACCTTTTCTCAGGTCTGTTGTTGGCTTTTACTGTGTCACTAAGACTGGGTCTTGTTGCCATGGATTGACGTGTTAGTAGGTTTTTCTCTTCTCTGTCAGATTGTCTGGCAGGAGCCACAACACTGTCTCTTGCAATATATGCATGCTTTTGATGAGAAGAAACCTAAACCCGGTAGGAGACCAATACGTGTTACTACTCATAACAATGAAAAATAACTCAAAACTGTGTTTTATGGCATCTCTTATATCTCAGAGTGCAGAAGTTACCACATCAGCCAGGAATTATTACAGTCAAGTTCAGTTTAAGCACCTGTCTGGGCAGCCAACTGTATTTGAAATCTGTGTAATATTTCTTGATGGGAAATAGTCTCTACTAGAGATACCTGCACTATACTTCAGGCTTTTCTCAGAGATGGATTTGAGGTAATAAATAAAGGCAAGTTGGGACACAGGAAATTCTTACTAAATATGAGGAAAAAAGCTTTTGCCATGAGGAGGGTGATCACAGACTGAACCAGGATCCTGAGAGGTTATGGGATCTCTGTCCTTGGAGATACTAAAAACCTGATGAAGCTTGTGGAAACCTGCTCTAATGGGAGCTTGTTTGAGAAGTTCAGACCCCTAGCATTCAGGGGCCTTTCCAACCTACCTGTTTCTGTGAGTCTGTGTCAGTGAGCTGAGTTAAGCTGGGCCAGGTACAGTTTTGCTCGGGATGTGCTATTGTGTTTTTAACAGAGTTGAATTTTTACATATTTTCTTTTCCATTGCAGATATTGACTCAGATGGACTCAGGAGGGAGGAATGTGAAGCCATGGAAGATAGCTGTCATCGTTGTGTCAGTGATAATTGGTCTGGCCCTCATCATTGGCTTGATTTCTTATTTTTTGTGCCATTGTAAGTGGATTATTTTGTTGTCTTGAGTATCTATTATGTTTCGCTTGTTGTTGTAGTCCTGCCCAGTGATTTAATTATGAAATCCACTGAGGGTATAGAATCTGCATGGGAACTTATTAGATCCTGTTAAAGTCCTGTATTGACTGGAAATCCTTAAAGAATACTTAAAATATCACTTACTTGAATGGGGATTTAAAGTTTTTCCATTCTTCATTTTGTCTTGTCCTACTACCTTCACGGTTATCCATGGTTACACAATAATTGTGTGTGTTGTATGGAAGCTCAGAAGTATGTGTTAACACTCAGATGATGTATGCATAGTAATCTTGGTCTTGAACAAGATTTTTGCAGAAACAATCTGGTACACCATTACAAAAAGAGAGAGGCTTGAGTTTTCTGGAGTCCTGATTGCCAAGGACTCTGTTTTAGTAGTAATTGAGGGATGTCACTCTGTTCCCAGTCTACTGCAGGCAGGTGAGGGGTTTTAAAATTAACTCCTGCTGTGACAGAACTGTCTTTGCTCACCAAGATTCAGCAAGGCCATGGATAATCATAGGATGCTAGACAATGTAGTGGCAGAGCTGTAGCTTATTTTTGCAAATAGCTTTTTGCTAATTCTCTATTGTAAGGGCCATCAGCCTTTACCCAAGAGACAGATTTTAAACTTAACCCCAGCTGCTGAGTGAATGTGAAACTGCTCTGCAAGGGCCACCTGCCTTTGAGGGGCAGGAATATGCCAGAAGGCATCTAGTCTGATGGTCCTCGAAGAAGATCTGTAGTGGATGTAATTTAGAGCTGCTTGGGATGGTTGTAAGGGTGGAGGTAAGTCCTTAGCTGTGTGGTGTGGCAAGATGTCCCAGATCCCCCTTGCCTCACTGTGCTGTCCAGAGTTTGGCCACAGCTGATAGTGATGCAACCAGAGTCTGGGAGTCTTGTGCCATGTCCTGCACAGAGCTATGCGTGTCTGATTCATACTGAAGGAATGAAGCAACTTGTCCTCTTCCTCTCTTATGTAGATGAGGATCGATATTACAATGCAACTTTCCTTATCACCAATGTCCCATATGACCTTCAGTATGGAAGGCAAACGACGGAGGAATTCAGATACCTGAGCCAAGAGATTGAAACCATGGTAAACTAAATTGTTTCTCTGTCTCTATCTGGCCTATGGTGAAGAGTCCTACAATTATGTGGTTAGAAATAAGTCAGGGGTGATTGTGCTTCATGCTCATGTACCTAGATTATGTAGACTATATCAGGCTATTCCAAGGGCAAAAGATGGAGAATTAAACATTGGAGTAAGTGGAGTCTCTTCTCTGGCTCTGCCATTCACCTGTGTTTAGTGATTTAGACTATCCAGTCTGCTACTGCCAACAGAGAAACTGTCAATGACAATGTTAAATTTTAAACACTTGGGAAATAGGGGAGATTGCTGGGGTTGAAGAACTCTATTGGAAGTCTGTCATGCATATGGCTCTGAATGTCATGGTGTCTGCATGCCTTGCAATTTTTCTATGGTACCTATCTTTCCAAATCTTATACAGGCAGCCTAGTGGTGGTTTTGCTGCTTAGAGTGGATGGGAAAAACAGCACAGTGTGATCAAGGCTGAGCTCATCAGTATTAAATGTTTAGTTCTCTTAGAAATAATCAGGATTTAGATGCCTAACTACTATTACGAGCTTAGTGGTTTTGCCACAGTTGCACAGGACTTGCAAAGAGAGCAGTGAATGATTCTGGACTCCAAGGAGGAGTTTCCAAGGAGGATTTGGAAGCAGTTGTGGATGTATCAGCGCAGGAATAGCATTCAACTGGTGAAGGATGTTCTTCACTGGCTGGTGACATGGATTCTGCCCTAGCAATTCCAGTGCTATTACTTATCGTACTTAGAGATCTGGGCACAAAAATTGCAGGTCACCCCTATTAAATAAGGACTATACCGTGGAAATCAGTAACTAAAAGCTCAACTGCCCAGCAGAGGAACAGTTCAAACTCTGTGATGCAGTGTTCCAGTTGGGTCTACATAGGGTATAAAACTAGAGCTGTAAGAGGTTGTTTGCCCTGCACGTGCGTACTGGCAGCCATACTGTTGCTTAGCACAGCTTTCTTTTCCTTTCAGCCAAGACACTAGAAAACTAGGGTGGTACAGGAAAGAGACAAATTACTTCTAAGGTGCACAAAATACAGTAAGAAAGGCTTATATGGACAAAATAGCAAAAGCAGTTCTGGTAACTTATTTAAAGCAGAAAGTTGGGACTGCATGTCTTTCTGGGAGCTGTTATGTGATTTGGCTCAGAACAAATTCACCCTAGATTGTAAAATCAGACAGTTCATCCCCATTGTCTCTTGTCCTGCCACTGGACACCACTGAAAAGAATCTGACTCAGTCTTCTATACAACCTTCTTAGTCATCTTCCAATCATCTTTATATCCTCCCCAGTCATCTTCTGACTCTAGCTTTCAACAGGGAGTGTTAAATTCCTTGTTGCTGCCTCTGCACTCAGGAAGGAGGAATTATACAAGCAGTTCTTCTCTGCTCCACTGTAAACTTGTCAGCGCTGTCTTTTTAAATATTACTGTAGTGGTAAAGAGACCTTGCTGTGTGCAAGCAGATAGTAAGCATGTGTGCTGTCTGTTCCAGCAACCCTGCAATTGGAAAGGTGCCTGGAGAGTATGACAGATTTGGTAACTTGACTGTTTATTTTAATTCTGCAATCTCCAATGGAAGTTCAGCAGTAGCTCTGATATAGAAATGGGGCTCCAAAAGCAGTTTCTGTATATTAGGGGTTCACAAGACTGTTCCAGTTTGAGAGGATGCATGTATTACAGGTGTATTTTGATATACTTTTTTCCTTTAACAGATGTCTAAAGTATTTAAGGGGTCCTTTCTGAGCAGCAAGTACATTAGATCCCATGTTGTCACTCTAAGGTAAGTAACATGAAGGTCAGAAAAAAGCAGAAATGGGATTAATATAATTCCTTCCTACCCCTTGACCTCATGGAATGTACATGGTTGCTTATGCTTGGATCACGCTAGCTGGATATCTGAAGTCTTGGCTTGTTATCACTTCCCTTCAGAACTTTCAACGTTTTTGAGGGCTTAGGCTACTTCAGAGATCAGCAAGGAAGAGAAAATTGGCCATATACTTCTGCAGATTGATTACCTGAACACTAGTTCTTTGTGGCTGTGATGCAGTAAATGAATGAAAATGAGGTGATCCCAGCTTTTGCTGCTAGTTAAGTGCTTGAGTGATCCAGTCAGCTCTTTATTCCACATCATGTTTTCCGTAGAAACTCAAGCTGGTATTTACTGCCCTGCATGGTGTATAGCAGGAGGTGACTATTCTCCCCCATCTTAGCAAAGATATGAAGGAATAAATTCCAGTGTGAGGTATCTGCAGAGAGAGAAAGGAGGCAAGTCTGAGACATGGATACGGAGGTTCTGTGAGACTTTATAAGTCTCCCTTCTCCATGCATGTATTTCTGCCAGTGGTAAGAACTGTCACTTGATTTGGGTTTGGAGTAATTACATTTCTGTAAGGCACAAATCTGCTGTGGAATATTTTTCCCTGGACAGTGAAGAATGCCATGCTTCCCGCAAATGTGCTTTTCCACAGCACTTTGGGACTCTCTTACAATCATAGAAAGGCTTGGATTAGAAGGTACCTTAAAGACCATTCAGTCCAGACTCCCAGATTTGCTGCCCACTGGAGCGGGCTGTCCATTGCCCCATCCAACCTCGGATGGGGCCTTTGAACATCTCTGGGACATCCACAGCTTCACTGGGCAACAGCTCCACTGCCTCAACACCCTCTGTGTAAAGAATTTCCTCTTGTCATCTATTCTAAGTCTCTCTTCATTTTTTTCAAAAACTGTTCCTCCTTGTCCTATCGGCAATGAATCACATGGAAAGTCTCTCTTGCTTTTGCCTGTGTCTATGTGGTTATTTCTTTAAGCTGCTTGACATTTTTTTCCACTGCTGGTTTCTTCTGTAAACCTCCCATACTCCGTTGTATAGTCAATGAATACTAAGATGTTATAATTATGAAAAAAACAAGAGTTTGGCAGAGCAGATTATAATAACAAAAAGAGGATAGAAAGCTTACCTACATTCTGGACTCGCTGCAAAACTCCAGAGGAGAGGGATCTTCAGAAGAAATCCTTTCCTACTGTTAGTCAGCTCTTAAATGGGTCTAGGAGAGGTGGAGCTGGGCTCTACCCCTTCCGGCAGCACAGGTGAATTGCCTTTATCTGTGCTCCCATGGCTGACTCACTGCTCGCCTCAGGTGATCAATCAGAAGTTCAGGCTGTGATTCAGCAGTTCCCATACATTTGTATTAACTGAAATTATAAATTTTCAGTAGACTTCAAGCAACCTCTTTACTTTTTAGGCTGACTGAACAGTGCGCTGGCTATAAACTTTCACTGGAGACACCTTATTTCACGCAACTGAGCACTGAATCAGCTTACCTGCATCTCTGCTGTCTTTGCCTCTAGGTTTCTTTTGGTTTTCCTTTGAACTGTTTGTCTAAAATATTGGGCTTCATATTTTATACTGATATTAAGTGATCATGCCTTGTTCTGATAACATAAATCATTAAGATTTTTTCTCTGGATCCAAAGGAACTTTCTCATAAACTGACAAGTAACTTAAATGTAAAGAAGTATCAGAAGACCTTTTCAATTTCTGTAGGTCTAGACTAAGCTGCATAGACTCTAAAGGGAGTGATCCTTCCTCTCCTCCCAGAAGATTCTCTCTGATCACTGTTATAGTATAAACCAGGCCTTTTGCTGCCTGCTAACATACATCATCCTACCTTGCTTGTGTACAGCTATGATATTCATTCTGCACATCAGTGCAGACCAGACCTGTTCCCATATAAGGAAGGTAGACATCACAAAGAAGGTCACAGAGGCTTAGTGGGCAAAGAGATGACGCCACCTTGTTTATGTTGGTTTGCAGCCCAGATCCTGGTGGAGTGCTTGTATCTGTTGCTCTGGTATTTAAATTTGCCTCAGCTGACAGTGAGACAACAAGCTGGAGTCATGTCTACAGTGTGTTACGTAGAAGACTTGAAACAAGCTCAACGTTCTTGAATGTTGACCAGTCTACCATTAAACTCACAGGCAAGTGGCTTAGATTTTTGTTTATAGCTTGGAATTTGTTCTTCATACTTTCCTCATTCAGCGTGATGAGTTTCACTTAACTGTGCAAATATATGTGATTTCTATTTCCTTTTCATTTTTCAGACTTGCGGTATGGGCAGGCCATATTGCCTTACTGGCTGGCAGCCCAGGAGCCTGAAAGAAGTAGTAGCATTAAGAGAGCTAAGACACACTGATACCCAGTTTTATATATGTATATATAAACTCTGTTCTGTGCATTAGAAGTTCTGTGTTCATTGAAAAAAGACCCAACTTTGTAACCCAGGTTCACAGATTACTTTGCTAAGGCAGACAGTGAATTGAAGAGAAATCTGTGTCACTAGGTTCTTAAATGTGAAGTCCTCAAGCTGTTTAAAAAATGCAAGGCTGAGATGGTTCCTTTCTCCATCATCTGTCATTTCCTTTCCATATTTGCCAGATTGCTGTAGCAAGCATTAATAACCAAACATTCCTTGTACACTAATCTTCTCACAAAAGTCTGTCATTGTTTACCACCAGAATCTGTCAGTGGGTTGTTCTGTAGGGAAGAAATCAGTAACATTACAGTTTAGCTCCAATCAAGCCCAGTACTGAGGATCTATGACCACCTTGCCATAATGAATGTCAACATAGTCATACAGGCTTTAGTATCGCATAGGTTCCAGCACATGCAGATGTTATTTGAGCCTGTTTGGTGAACTACTGCTTTTCTTTTTTTAGCTTTAAACAAAAAAAAAAATGTATCCTTTAGCCTTCCAGTTTGAGTGAGGAACCAGAAGCATAACAGAACTTATTTAGCAGAGCAAAGTACTCTTTTTACCGTACTGTTATTGCAAGCAGCAGTACAAGTAATTTCATTTGCTTGCGGTATATAAGCAGTTTGTCTCAAATCTCATATGGATTTCACATAGCATTGTGAAATATCCTCAGTGTATTTTTTGTTTTTCATTTCAGAATTGAATAAGGAGAATGGAGATAACCTTATAAACAACTGTAAGTACAAATGTTTTATAGAAATCATCAAGGGACTTAGTGCCATCAGTACAGTGTTTATAAGATTTTTAAGCTTGAGATGCAAGTTGAAAAATAACTTTTTAAGCTACTAGAACAATAGCTAATTCATGAGCCAGAGAAGATTTTAGCTTTTTTTTTTTTTTTGGTGTTTTGGAGTTTTGCTTGCTCTGCAGTGTTTACACTTAGCCCACCACCATCAAGTTGGATTGCCTTTAGTTTTGGCTATGGTAAGAAGATGAGTTGCTCTCAGTGAGCTTTGAATGAGGACTGCAGCTGTTGTGAGCTGAAAATCTTTTTGGATGACAGACTGTTACCCAATACAACTAGCAAGACTGAAAAAATCAGAGCATTAAAATGTCGTCCAAGTTGTGTCTTCCAAACATTCTGTACATGTAGCGCTAAGGAAAGCCCTAGCTTTCTCTGAAAATGGTCATGCCAGATCTTTCTTTCTGCAAGACAATCTGTTATCTGCAAAGCCCTTGTTTAGAACTTTTCTTTGTTGTATGTGCATCCATTCCTGCCTCTGCCCTAAGCTGGTAAGCCGTTCTCTCTACAGGTATACAGCCTTCCATTGCCATGGAAGTTCACTGCTTTGTGTTTCTGACAACTAGTAATATTTCTACCAACGTTCATTTACATCATATCTATCCTGAGACCCTTGTGACCACAGCACCTAATTTCTCTGCTCTTGAAGGCACTGCTTTAGGTGGAGGCTGTCTCTTGACAGCTCTGCCCTGTTGTGCCTGTGCCAGCAGCCACATGGGCCTCCCCAATAGGCAGACCCTGGGTTTCCTCAATCAGCTAACACAGTTGCCTTTGTTTTGTTTTGGGGTTTTTTGGACAGTCTGTGGAGTACGAAAGGAGGGATTCTCCTTCTCAGGAGTGGAAAGAATAACAGATGGACAACGTGCGCAGGATGGAGAATGGCCATGGCAAGCTAGTATTCAGCTTGATGGGACACATTACTGTGGTGCCTCAGTGATCAGTAATACATGGCTAGTGACTGCAGCCCATTGCTTTAAAGCGTAAGTTATCAGCACCTTTCTGATCTTGTAAGCCCTACAACTTATGAGTGCTCTGATAAATCTACTCTGACTTTTCATGAACCGCTAATGTCTTTATCTGCTGGAAGACAATGAAGTTTGGCTCTTCTCTGTTCTGTAGACCAAGCTGACCATGTTGTATTTTTCTTAAACAGAAAGCTGTGTTTCTGTGGAAATCTTTTTTGTGTGTTTGTGACATAATTGCCAATGTTTTTCAGAGGAAGAGAACCTCGGAGATGGACTGCCAGTTTTGGAATTCTGTTGAGGCCTCCAAAACAGAGAAGATATGTCCGAAGAATTATCATTCATGAAAAATACAATAGCCTTGTCCCTGATCATGAGTATGATATAGCTCTTGTGGAACTTGCCTCCTCTATTGAGTTCACAAGTGACGTGCACAGTGTCTGTCTTCCTGAAGCATCTTACATATTAAAAGATAATACTTCCTGTTTTGTCACAGGTTGGGGAGCTTTGAGGAATGATGGTGAGTTTCTCTTCACTCCCTGTGGAGGCTTCCTTTCCCCTCAGACATGTCTAACAGGACTATTGTTGATTTTATGACTTTGATTCATTTTGCACTGGTGGACTTAGTTTGTTGGAGTTGTTTTGATCAATGGCTTGGAATTTAGGGAAAAACTCCTGCAGGATATTTTTATAGGATTAAGAGCAGCTTTTTTGTTGGTGCATGCATCAAAGTGGTCAAATGCATTCTGTTCTCCATTCTCACTGGCCTAGTCCTCTGACCTGAGCTAAGACAAACCTTTCAGTTATGTCTGTCACAGATCTGTCATAAATTGTTGTCAGTTAATCTCTTTGATCCTAATTCAGGCTTCAGTTCATCAAATGGCTCAAATGAGCTTGATTCAAATTGGCCAATGTCACTGAGATTAGAGATGAGACTAATTGTGTTAGTAGGAGAGCAGTTTGAGCTATAAGATGTAGTTCATGATAGACTCTTGAAATGTACAATAATGGTCTAACTTGCTTTGCAGTTAATCAAATGGCTATTTCTGTTGGCATCAAAGATACACAATAAAGCCAATTGCTGAATTGAACGTTGAAATGTACAAAAATCCCTTTGCCTGTTATGTTAAAGACCATCAATTGAGAGTGAAAGATGGGAAGAAGTTGTGTTTGGGATGAGTGGGTGAAAGACTTTGGGCAAAAATAACTTTATTTAGACATTCTTCAGACAATGGCAGGAAGGCTCTAGGAAAGCCTGACTACTCCTAATCCTCGCATATCTTAGAATGCCACTTTTTCTTCTAGGCCCTAGTGTTAATCAGCTTCGACAAGCAGAAGTAAAAATTATTAGCACTGCAGTTTGTAATAGACCACAAGTGTATGCTGGAATGATAACACCAGGGATGTTGTGTGCTGGATACTTAGAGGGACGGGTGGATGCTTGCCAGGTAAGTCTCATCTTAAGAAGAAATAGGTGGGATGGAAAGTGACTTTTCCTAGAAATAATAATAAGTAAGATTCTCCCATGGTGTCTTTTGTTTATGGGGTTCAGGATCTTCAGAGATGTAAATTAAGAGCTTCATTGCTTCTAGGTTGTGATCTGCACTTAGATGTTTATTGTTTTTTTGTTTTGTTTTTTTTTTTATAGCATGCTTTTGAGAGAATGCAGATGTAATGGTCTAGAATAGGAGAGACTGTAGTAGATACAGGCTGTCAGCCTCTGTCCTCTCAGTAAACTTATAGCTGTGATCTAGAGAAAAGTCTCAGTCTGTTGTAACATAACAATATGATGTTCCCTGCATTAGTGAAGTGAATGTTGTTTGCTTTTTGTTCCCGTCTGCTGACGTTTTTCTCCTTAGGGCGACTCTGGTGGGCCACTGGTGAAGGCAAACTCCAGAGGAATCTGGTATCTCGTGGGAATAGTGAGCTGGGGTGATGAATGTGGCAAGGCAGATAAACCAGGAGTGTACACGCGAGTGACTTTTTATCGAGACTGGATTGCTTCCAAAACCGGCATCTGAAACCTGCGGTTAAGTTTTGTGGGCTGTGTGAAGGGCTATTCCTCTAACACGTTCTGCTCTGTGGTTACCCTCTAAACAGCTTCTGCCTTGGCATGTGATGATGTATCAAGTGCTGGCAAGCTTGGAGTAGTCTAGGACTCGAAATTGGTTTGGCTTACAACCGGAAAAGAATGAACTCAATCATGTGACACAGCAGTTTGTTCAGGAAGTACTCTGTCAAAGGGGCAAAGACTTTGGTTTCTGTGCAGGATAGAGACCCTCTTCTCTGTGTCCAAATCTTATGGCTGCTACTTTGTGGGCTAAGCATGAGCCCACAAATCCATTTACCAGGATCTTAAAAACAGTTGCAACTAAAATGTGACCCATCCATTTGCTGTGTGCTTCTAAGGCCCCGCCTGTCTGTAGACCAGCTACCATTGAACCCCTGACTTTAAGACTGCTGTGCTTTTTTCCTGCATTGTTCCATGGAGCATATCTATGCTAATAATGAACAGAAGATGGCTTAGAGAAATTTCATTTCCTAGCATCATGTCATACAGTTACCTAAGTGAACTCAGAAGTATTTTTTGCTGTGTTGTCCTGAAAAAGCGATTGCTGAGAAAAGCCAGCTTCTATGCACTGCCCTTGAATGTGTCCACTTCCTGCTTCTTATGAAGAGCCCCTACTACAGCATTTTCCATGAAAGTGATTTCTGGACTTGAGATCAAGTAGTACTTAGTGTTCACACTAGTCTATTGTTTTACTTAAATATCTGACTGAATGAAATTCCATTTTAAAACTTTCCAGATTGTATTGTTTTTAATAAAGTCCTAAGCTCTTTTGTTCTTGGCAATGTTCATATGGTTGTTACAAACTTTCACAATCTCCAAAACATGCTTATTCTCATGAATGGTGTCCTCAAGTCTTATTAATATAGAAAAGTTCATGTGTATGTCTTCAGTTACGTTAAAAAAAAAAAAAGATTTGTGGTGGAAATATCTTATCTACATGTCTACTTCAGAACAAAGAATGAGCCATAAGTCAAAGTAAAGATCTTTTTCCTGTCAGGAATTAATGCCTGTGTTTTATTGATTAGACCATAGATAGCCCATCTGATTTCATGAATTTCACAGTCTCTCTACCTTCATTTTCAGGAGCTGATGTTTCTCAAACTTTCTATACCCTAGAAGTGGAACGTGCCTACTTTTGATGAAGATGCCTTCCTTAATGCATCTGCAGAGTATTTCCAATGTTTTATTCTGGTTGCTAGTATGAACAACAGTGAGTGATCTTAATTGCTAGATACAGGAATTACTCATTTGCTTGTGATGGTCAGCAGAGGAGAAGAACTCAGCAAAGGAAATACTAGCCACATTGCCAACAACCAAAGCTGATCCAGTGTGGCAGACAAGCCAGGTCAGAAAAGATGAGCAAAGAAACATCTTCATAGTTAAAAGTTTTTGGCATCTTCAAAGTTAAAAGATCTGGGGATAGGAGGCCCTCACTGATTATACTCTTAGAATTAAAGTGTTGTCCAAATTCAGTACAGGTCAGTTAACATCATCAGTGTTAATACTAGGAATCTTTGCAGCTTGCTTTAAGCCCTGCACAGCAGAGCTGCAACCCATCAAGTGTATGGAATTGTTTTATTACACATCCTGTGATTTAGGTGCCTGTACGCACAGTGAACTATGGTTTGTCTTTACTGGAGGTGTGGGGTGTTTGGACTCTCAAAAAAGATTTGTATGAAGGAGAAGGTTCTGAGGCTGTTGTTCTGTGCTTGTGTATGTTGTGAAGACCCAGCATTTAAAATGTCCTTTTTAGGAAGCTTTCCGTATGGAATGCTGTGTGATCCAAAAATAAAAGTTGGGTGGCCTAAGTTTTAGGAGGGGAATAAGAAGTATCAAAGTGGTTCCATAGGTTTGAAGCAGAGAAATCTCATTTCAGTGCCTTAAGCAGAAATTGAATTTGAATTATATTGCCTTTATATTATGCATGACAAATGTAAGATTTTTTTATTTTTTTTTTTTTTTTTTTTTTTTTTTTGTCTGGTAACTATACCTAGACAGTGAGTCACCTTGAAGAAAAGCATTATTATAAGACTGCAGGACTTTTCAGTTCCCAAAGCACTTCAGATTTGGGTTTTTAAAGGACAAATTTCATTTTAATTCAGGAACATATTTTTAGACCCGCAAATCTCAGCTTTTTCACTGTTTTCCAAAAAACAGGTAAGTAGATGTCCAAAGGATTTCTTTTTAACTTTTTAACTTTCTAGTTGTGCTTGAATAAAATGAGAAAGTGTTAAGCATTTTTTTCTGTGCAGAGGGCTCTTATGAGTGTAATCCTTCCAAGTAGTGCATGCAAAGCTGAAAAAGTGAACTTTGTGTTTGCTTTGATTTTCCAGGTTCTGAGAATCCAGCTGGAGAGATCTAGTACATGATTCACCTTAATGCTGAGCACCAATGCAGGGTTGCCAGGAGAGGGGCTATAGAGGAACAGACACCTACACAGTGTGTGTTTTGGGAGCCTTTTTTTGGATTCCAGTTTTCATCATAGCAGTTGGAACAAGTTTTCTGTCTGGTTTCTCAAAGCAGTGTGGTTTGCTTGCTCTTGACTATGCAAAGCAGTATAAATGAAAATGCAATAAAGTCACTTCAAAGAATGCCCGTCATCCACAGGAATGCTGGTACAGATGGACCTCATGGATCCAAATCCCTTTTGTATGGCCAAACCACAATGATGTCAGCATTGTCGAGCTTTTCCTGAGAGCAACTGCAGAAACCTGAAATAATGTAGGCAGTAAAAACTTTGTTTGCTTTAGGTTGTCTAGCAGATTCATATTTTTTCTAATTTGAAGTCTTAAATTTTTATGAAATCACAAGATTTATCTGTTTTCCACTATGTTTTTGTTTGGAATTATCATCAATGAGATGCATCTAACTATGTTATCAGACATGGCACACAGGAACGTAATTTATGTATTAATTTAATAAAAACAGTTAAAAATGTCTTCTTTCCCATGTATTTGTTAATTTCCTGTGTCATGGCAAACAACTGTGAGCTAGGGACTGATCTGTTTTACAGCACTGCAGTGATTCTGTACTGTATACTTATGTACTGGCTTTTATGTGGTCCTTGACCATCTGTCTTCATTGATGTGTTTGAGAAGTGTTGCTGTGCTCATTTGTACAGGGCTTAACTCACCTGCCCTAAGGTTACCCAGTTTTGCATGCATTCAAGCAAAAGCAAGGTCATGTGTCAGCCACTAGAGGGTGAATCGTCTTGTCTAAGAGCCTTAATCTCTTAGCTACTCGTGTTGCTCTGTTTCAGCTCAGCGGAGGGAATCAGGAGTGCAGGGTACCATGTCAGTGCTGCCTTGATGATGCAGAGGTGCTCCATGATTGTCTTGCACAGTTTGAGAAGACTACAGATGTTCAGCTTTTAGAGTAGGCATCTGCAGCACTGGTGAGTTTTGATCTCTTCCTTTCCCTTCCCTCCTACATGAGGAAGTTGGCACGAAGTGCTCCCCTTTACATATAAACATACAGCATGCTGTGGATATGAGCAGATGGCCAAGTAGATTTCTCCTGCTTCTCTGCTGCACCAGAGCCAAACCACAGTGTTCTGGGAAAACCAACTGGAAATGCATAATATCGGGTAGCGTTGGCATCTTGGGTCTGTTTTCTCAGTTTGTCAGCTTTCCCGCAAAGAGGATAACAAAGAGCAGCAGCACTTTTGAGTTTGGCATAAAGCAGCTGTTTACTTTGATTTCCCCTTTTTGACAACTGATGATTCTTGTGGATCAAAGATGTCAGTTTTATTCTTGTCCTTTTTCCATAAGGATGGGAAACTTGGTACATTCTCAACTAGAAAAGAAAGCTCTTGATGAGCAAAGCATGCTGGAGTTCATTTATCCTGGTATTTAATATCTTGCAGACAAAGGGAAGTTCTTGGATATCAAGATCAAAAGTGAAAAGAGTACAGTTGCCTTTTGCCTTAGTGCAGTACTGCATGGGATGCAAGGCTGATATGGATGTGAGGCTGGCTGTTCATTTTGAAGAACAGTAGCCCTTCTGTCATGTGTCTCTGGGCCAAGTGCAATAAAGCAATAAAGGGAGTCTTAAACCAAAGACAAGCTTCTTAAAGGACACCTTTGTAACTAAGCTGTTTTGTGGTAGTGGTTGTTGTTTTTTTTTTTGTTTGTTTGTTTGTTTGTTTTTAATGTTGGAATCACATAATTGTAGATGTTGGAGGGGACCTCTTGATATTGTAGAGTCCAACTTCCCTCTTAAAGTAGACCTCCACTCTACAGTCAGATGCATGGGCAGATGCCTAGATGGGTCTTGAATATTTCCAAAGAAGGAGACTCCACAACTTATCTGGACAGCCTGTTCCAGTGCTCCATCACTCTCTCACAGTAAAAAACTTCTTCCTTGTGTTAGTATGGAACTTCCCATGTTCCAGTTTTTGCCCATTGCCCCTTGTTTTATTGCTTCTCGTCACTGAAAAGAGTGCTTCCATTGACTTCCATGCTTTAGATATTTATAAACAGTTATAAGATCTCCTCTCAGGCACCTCCAGGCTGAACAGTCCCAGGTCTCTCAGCCTTTCCTCACAGGGGAAATGCTCCAGGTCCCTAATCATTGTGGCTTAAAGGAAAACTGCATGTGCTGTGTATGTGATGCTTTTTAAATCTAAGCATTTGGTAGATAGCAACAGTACTGTGATCCAAAGATGTGGTCAGCTAGTGTGGCCCGGTCTGGCACAGGGAGCTGTGTGTGCAAGTTTCTGCTGGAGGAACAGAAATGAACTGAATAGAGGAGCAAATCCTGCTGTTTTGTATGTGTGGTGGAACTAGGCTCTTTCTTTAAAATGTATCAGTTTTCTTGGGCTCTTTGATACGTTACTGCTGTAAAGAAAACCTCTCAGAACTCATCTGGTTAGAAGAGTTAAGCAGATATTACAGATATTACAAATGGCTCCTAATCTGCTTTACTTCAAAGTTTGCTTTTTAATTGAATGCATTCTTAAATGAGACTTCCTTAGAAGACCGTTGTTTGCAAGCCTGTTCCTTGCTAGCGGTTTTTACTCAGATGCAAATTAGCAGTTTCTCTAAAGACAGAAATGAGACTTGTGAAACTTTCATTTGAAAGTATGATGAGTTTATTTTCTGTAAGCCTGGATAGGTCAAGAAATAATGGATTGTTTCTGATTTACTTGATTATTGGAAAAGTGAAGAAATTCAATACATAAATCTGAAAGGTTGTGCTATGCTGCTTGATGGTTATTCCCTCAGCTCCTGTGCTTTTAACCTTCTGGTTCTGGGAAGGATGTGCCATCAACTTGGTGTATCCAGAACTCTTTTGATCACAGATGGTTCTTTGTAATTCAAAAGCAATCAGCTGCCTGTGATTGTCACACATCTCTGACCTTCCCTAGACTCTCAGGATCACGTTCAGTCTGCAACCTTTGAGTGACCCAGACAGTCTGGCACTCCACACCAGCTGACCTGCATACCAAAGGTACCTGTTACTGATCTCATCCTTACCCAGTGGACAGACCATCACCCAAATGACAGGCTGGTACTAAGAAACCATCCATCCTGCACTAGAGGATGATAGAAAGATAAGAAATACTTCTTTTCAACACTATAACAGATGGCCTGAAGAAGTTATAGACTCCCCATCTTTGAAGACATTAACACAGTTGGACATAATCCTGAGCAACCTGATCTGGCTTGATTTGAGCTAAGAGGCTTGGGTAATACTGTCTCAGACAAGCTGTCTGCCCTGATGGTTCCA